TTTTTTTTTTTTTTTTTTTTTTTTTTTTTTTTTTTTTTTTTTTTTTTTTTTCCGCCCCGGCCCCCCCCTTTTTTCCCTTTTTTTTTTTTTTTATTTTTTTTTTCGTCTTTTTAGAATTTTAATCTTAAAAAAAAAAAAAAAAAAAGAAAGATGTCATCATCGAACTGACCTGCCCTACCTTCGTCCCCCGAATACAACGTACTGTCATTATAGCTCCATTTAGACTGAAAGATACCCCAAATACAGCTATAATGACCGTACATTGTATTCGGGGAAAGAGGGGTAGGTAATGCTCTGTTTTTTGTTGTTGAAAGCGGAAGGATCATTGACAAGAAAAAAAAAAAAAGGAAAAAAAAAAAAAGAAAGCGGTGACGGTCATCAGCGAACTGACCGGCCCTAGGTAATTCAAAATTGTAGTATTTATTATTTTTATTTTTAGTATTCTACGCATCTGCTTCCAGTGGACTTCGAATTCAGGTCTTAGGCAGCTCAGGCGCGGAGTCCCACTAGTAGCGTTCAGTTTCCTCAACGCCCGAATCTGGACGCGTTTTAGGAGATGTGCGGTTGGGGGAACTCGATGCGATTTTCTGCACCTCTCCACAAACACATCCACATTCGGGCCTTTAAGGAAACTGAATGGTGCTCGTCGGACTTGGCCCCAGGGGCTAGGACCCAGTAGCAGAATGGTACTACGCCGCCTCGGCGATTTAGATTTCGATGATTTGTGGCCTGGAGTGAGGCAGTACGGCCACTGACCTTCTTGGCTCTCGGTGGCCTGTGTTCGATGTTGTGTTGGATGTTGTGTTCGATTTCGATTTCGATTTCGAAACCGAACAACGCTGATCCGACTACTATTTTTGGTGAGAACCAAAAAGAACCGCGTTGTTTGGTCCTGGGCCGGTCGGACCGAAAGAGCGAAATTGCATCCCACTTGCCCGGTTGGGGCGGGACTGTTTCGAAGTTCGTGGCGGCATGCAGAGCCATTCCAGGCGGACCACCGGACACCAAGAAAATGGAAAAAAAAAAAAAAAAAAAAAAACGCCTTCTTTTTCGAGTCAAGGACGGTGCTGGCTTCTTCTGATTTTGGGAAGTTCTTTTTTGCCGTGGGTCGCGGAAAACCTGCCACGTACACATTTATTTTCACTACCTCCCGGACTTGACCGGAAGACCCGCAAACATGGAAAGTAGCCGGATCCCGTGAAACCCAGGGCCGAGGTCCCACTAGCGAAGAGGATTGGATTGAACACCTGAATCTGGACGCGTTTGTGCAAAGGTGCAGAATATGGAGCTCGAACTGCCTTTACGAATCTCTCCTTGAAACATGTCCAGATTCAGGGGCTTAATCCAATCCTCTTTGCTAGTGGGACCTCGGCCCAGTAGACTATGCTCAGTAGTAGTAGTCGGATCTGTCCCTAATTCCGAGCGGGCCCAGTGTTGGGAAATTACGGAAAACTGGCAGTTTTCCCAAACTCCTGAAAATTCGGAGGCCGGGCTCGACGACGGCTGCCATTGATAAATCTGATCGGCGGCGCTCGTTTCGCTTTTGCTTCGGCCATCCGAAAAGGTCGTAGGTCCACCTGACGCCCGCTATTTTCCCACGCGGCAAAGGTACTAGTGGTTTAAGAGGTCCGCCTCCCGACCAATCAGTGGCCTCTAACAGAAAAGATCCGAATTATAGCTCGTTGTCTTGCACGGCGGGAAGTTGCGTTTTCTCATGAATTTGAAAAGGAGGNAAAAAAAAAAACAAAAAAAAAAAAACGAACGCCTGGGAGAGAGACTGCTGGTGTAACCTCCTCCGATCTCAAACTCATCGAACCACAAGTACCTCTCACAGCCATTTTGGCTCGACACATCTGTAAGACTGTCGCCATCTTCAATTTTCGGGGGCTCGGCCTGCCTGACCTCGTTGAGTGGCAGCACCTGCGGAAAGAAAAAAGATTTCCGCTGCAGCGCTCCGTCGTTTATTTGGCGCGCAGAAGAAATCTGGGTTGAGGAAAAGACGCTCTCTTTATGTGGTGACAACTAGTCTTGATGAGTGGTGACACTAGACCCAGCCACTTTCTCGGCCGGGTGTTTCCTGTGTACTTGCATGCTGAATATGTGATGTTGGTTAATGGTCTTGGTTGGTTTTGCAGGCGTGCATCCTGGCCATCGGAAGGGGAGCTAAGACTGTTGTGTGGGACGAATCTGCTGGAGGTACGACATCCATACCGCCCCTCCTCTGTGTGTGTGTGTGTGTGTGTGTGTGTGTGTGTGTGCATTCAGCACACAGACGTGGTGGTCCAGGCACCGTTCAGAATATAACAATAAAACTGGCATTTCATCAGAAGAATGCATTTATTTAATTTTGTAAAAAAGAATAATAATAATAATCATTGAAAAAAATATCACGTAACGGTAAAACCTGATAGAAGAAGAAAGATTATAAGGTACGGCTGTTTCAATTTTTGGATCTGTGCATCTGGGTTGAAACTTGAAAGAGGTTTGTTTTTTTGTTTTTTTTTTTGTTTTTTTTTTTTTTTCCCAATGTTTTTCAGTCAAATTTTTGGATTGTGGTGAATGACAAAAATGTAACACATACTGTTTAAAAAAAAAAAAAAAAAAATGTAACACATCACATATAACTTGATATAACTGGATAGAAGATTGTAAGGTAGGGCTGTTCCGATTTTCTCACCTTTCTTTTTCTTTTCAAAATTCAAATGGGCGGTGGCCTTGAGTTGTCAGCGGTCCGGTAAATAAATTAATAATACAGAATGATTATGTTTTGTTCATCTGATTGCGCTCAGGGCACGCTCACATACACCAAATCGTGTTTAACTGAAACGGTTTCACCCAGTACAGACATCAGGACGCGATCCCTAGACCTACCCCGTAACCCTGTACAGTGACCATGTATTCCTTTGCCTTTGTGAGCCGTGAACGCGCAACCTGTCCCTTAAAATGTAGGTCTGTGTTTTGTGTCCTCCTTAGTTAGGGTCTTGTGGACTTAAACCGTAGACCATAGGATTAGTAGCCCTGAGGGGTTTTCCAGCCCTTAGACTAGTCTAGGTCCTTCCGGAGGGCAGCTGACCGTAGCTGAGTCAGCAAGTGGGAAGTAGCCCTAAGGCCTAGCGAAGGCTCAGTTTAGGCAGTTCGGAGTTTCTACAAGCCGCTGGGGGACTCTTCACGACTGTAGGGGTCAGTCGGTAGGCCTACCTAGTCTAGTCAGCAGTCTCCCCCGTCCTAGCTAGTCCAGTCAGCAGAACCCAGTCCCGGTCCTGCCTAGTGTAGTCGGGGGGGAGGGGGAGAGAGGGGGGGGAACGGGGGACCACATGTTTTGGCCTGGGACGAGTGGCAGGCCAGACCACCAGCGGAGCAGTATAAATAAAGAGGCAGCACTCTCAGCCATTCATTTATTCGCCTGTGAGGCATGTGGAAGCGCTGCTGTAGCGACTTGTGCTGAGGAGGTCTGCAGGTACCGGAGGCAGAGGTGGGCTGAAGCAGACGACGACTGCCATAGATGAGAGGAGGAAGACGATGGCGGCCATAGCCGCCAAGCTGCGGATGTCAACAAAGTGTGCAGTGTGTGTGTGTGTGTGTGTGTGTGTGTGTGTGTGTGAGTGTGTGTGTGTGTGTGTGTGATAGGACGTGGACATTCACGGTGGATCCTCGTGAGAGAGTACGTGAGGGAGAGTGAGGCCGATGGTGTGGACAGTGTTCGGCCGGGACTTCAGACAGTTTTCGGCGGCCGTATCTCTGAGGTTTCTGTGTGGGCGCATGCCGCCAGTGCATATAGTTGGTTTGCCATCGGCTCATGCATATATGCACGTTGTAAGCGAGATTGAGACAAGTCTGATCTCATTTACTATTTTTAGTATTTTAGTATTTTCTTAAAAAAATGGGATGCCCAATTGGGAAAATAGTGGCTGGACTGGACACACTGCTTCCCCGTTTTGCAACAGACAAGGTTGCGGCCGCCAGGATTTTGGAATTTTTGGGTCCTATTCCACTGCTGCAGTCGGACTGCTAGATCGCATTTCCTGGCAATGTGTCCGTCTTCGAATGTTTTTCCATTTCCGCAGCGGGTGATTCCAAACAAGAATAAGGAATTTGCGGTAAACTCCTCCCGAGGTTACCAAAAATTCCCAATGTACCCCTCAGGCCGCTGACAAATGGGGTCACGAATAAGTAGTTTGTGGAAATGACATATTGGTGTGTCTACCCGTCGACTCTATTTTTTGAAGTTTATTGTACAAAGAAAGTGTTCATGTCTCCTGCGCTCTCTGCCGCTCACACAGATGCAGACTTGAACC